CAAGGGAATCATGCAGCTCATCTCTCACTGCCAGCCTCGCAACGTTCTGCTGGTGCACGGGGAGGCTGAGAAGATGGCCTTCCTCAAGAACAAGATACAGGAAGAGTTTGATGAGTGTTCTGTGGTTGGGGGGAGGGGAGAAGATGGCCTGCAATTGGGATATTCTGCAAATTAGCCGAGTAGTTGTTTGAGCCGAAGGGTTGAAGACTGAAGAAAAAAGTTGCAGCTTAAACTTAAAGCCTGAATTTTACTGTAATGAGATTTAAATCCCAAATTTTTTCTTGTTTTTGCCTTTCGAAGAACCCCAATCGGATTGGCATTAATTTCAAATTTTTTTCATTTATAAAATTTGGTTGTCTGTTGAAAAACCTCGGTCAGATTTTCATATATTTAAACCCATCAGGTCGAATGCGGCGTCTTGCCAGTATCCTGAAAAGACAATAAGTCTGTCCCCATGGTTTTATGCACCCCGCATAATTTAGCAAAATTTGATCATTGTTTGCATAATTTCTGATTATTTTCCTTTATCATTCTTTGTTAAAATTAACAGAATCGCATAATTTCTCCTTTTTTGGCTCATTTGCATAATTTCAGAATTTTTCTTGCATAAAACGACGGGGACAGATAAGTGGATAAGTTTGGCTTCTCTCTGGGTGTAGAAGTACTAGAAGTGGTGTGCTGGACATTTCTGATTCTCATGAGCTTTTCGTTACAGTGGATTCTTGTTATAGCCTATACCTAAATATTGGAACATCTATGGAACCTCCAGGTTTTCTTTGGTTTAGCAGGTTTTTGCTTTAGTGAGGCTGCTGAAATAGAAAAAGAAAGAAAAAAATGCGGTTTTATTTTCTTTCGGTTTCTGCTGGGTTTTTTTAACAAACTGTGTTTATTTCAAGCTAATCGACTGCCCTCTGCCAAATTAATTTTTTTGTTGTCATGAAGGTAGAAGTCAAATAATCATCCCTGAGATCTCGTTATATTTGACTGTCACAGATCACTGTGTCCTGATTTGGTGAGATATACTTGCGATCTCACAGTGACCCTGACAGACGGACCTTCACTTTGGGTTTAGTTAAGGACGATCGAAATGATCAGGGGGGGGGTGAACTTGTGGGAATATGATGACCTTGTGCCGTTACGAGCACCAGAACTGATCTCATGGAATTGACGTGTTTTGTTTTTGCGGCAGGGATCGACTGTTTTATGCCGGCTAATGGAGAGACGAGCGTCATCAAGACTCGCCACAACATTCCGCTGGACACGGCTCTCAACCTGCTCAAGAGGCAACTGCTCCCGGCCGAAGGTACGCTTCCCGGGATACAGAGAATTTCTCTTAAGTCTCGTAGTTTTAGGGGGGGGGGGGTTGTGGTAAGTGATTTATGGTGCTCGCAACTGCATCTGTACATATTATATATGTGAGAGTTCGTCACTTTCGCAGCCTAAAACTTTAGAACCACTTAGCTCTCGAATTTATGAAAATTAATGGTGGTTCAGAATCATTTAAAGGGTGCACAGTTTTATTGAGGAGCCTGAAGTCACCGTAGTTTAATTTTCTGTTTTTAATTAGTTTCGTTTAGATCTAATCTTGGGAAAGTCTGTCTTCTAAGACGCCATTGTAATTGTAAACAAGTGGAAATGAAAGCAGACGACAGAACATTGCTAGAGAGCAGGAAAGGAGGTGAAAGGAGACAATTTTTGAGAAGAAAAGACCCCCGGGGCAGTGCCACTTACTGTAGTGTCTTTAGGCCATTCCCAAGGGGGGGGGGGAAGGGGACATTTCTCGTTCAAGCACAGTAGAATTGTAAATGGGCTGATTCATGTCACGCTCATAACTGTGCCTGATCTACAACAGGGAACTGCTGCTTTTTCTTTCTAAATCCTTACTATTGTCATTTTCCTCTACTTCTTTTGTATGTTTGTCACTCTCTTGTGACCTGCTATT